AGCTAATTGAAGCTTCGATAGTGTTTCAATTACCATATGGACCGTTTGACCGTCCACCATGGCAGCGGTTTCACATAAGGGCTCGAATATTCCCATCATTTTGTTGAATCTCTTCACATTGACCGTGGCCCCCGCATCATGGTAGGCCACCTTCACCCTAGTGTGCTTCCGGGGTATGTCCTTCCTCCAACGGTCTACAACGTACTTCTCTGGTAGATATTCAACCAAATTTTCATCGAGAATCCTAATATAGTGTTTGCAAGTATGCCACTTGTCTTAAACTTCCTACAGTCACACTACACCTCCTTTGTCATTGGACAGAAAGTAACATTGTAGGTTCTTCGCCTATTTGTAATGACATCCTCACTCGCACCGGGAGGTACTATCCATACAAGATAGACCGCCGAATACTGAATAAGGTTTTCAGACAAAACCTTCTCTCCTCGGACGTTGCAATACATCATTCTCGTACACTCCTTTTGAACTTCTTGAAACTTGTTGTCCGTGTATAACTTTTGGAATATTTTTCTCCTTTGAATCCACTAACCAACCTCCTAAGGTACTTCGAGCAACGCTCATCTGCACTCACTTCATCTCGAACGCATTGATCCAAGGCCATGCAATACTTTTGAGGACACACATGGAGTTTTGTTTTGCGGTTAACATAGCCGTCGAAAAACCGATTGATTCTCTCCACCCTTGTGTGGTCTTCATACCAGCCCAAAAAAACTCCTTCACGAACGCAGGCACCCACATACAACTCTCTTTGTGTAGGCTCTGTAGCCATTCATTGTCCTCCAACATATACTCAGCATTAAACTCTGCCCATCGGGTTTGGAACTCCTCGGGGTCAAAGCTCTCATACACTAGCTCTTTGAGGGGGTTGACGAACTCTTGGTAACTAGACAAAAATAAGAAAAAGGTTAGATAACAGCAGAACATCAACAACAGGTTAGCTTGTCTTTAAATAGGGAATCAGTTTATTAAGCCTTTGAAACTAATATCAAGACCATGAAATTTGTAAAGGCAGGAGGAGGAGTTTCACAACATACCGTGCACACTTGCCAAGTTGTTAGGAATCTTGCTCATGATATGCCATATGCACCAACGATGCACCGTGTTTGGCATGACTTCAGCAAGGGGCCTCCGCATACCTGCCACTTGGTCGGTCAATATGGCTTTAGGAGCTCAATTGTTCATGCAAGCTAGCCACTGTCGAAATATCCACACAAACGTATCGCATTCTTCAGGTGAAACAAGAGCACATCCCAACAACAACGATTGCCCATGGTGGTTCACACTAACAAAGTTCGCAAGTGGGAGCTCGTACTCATTCGTTAGGTATGTTGCGTCGAAGCAAACCGCATCACCAAAGTCCTCATAAGCTACCCTACTTCTTGCATCCACCCACAACACATCCTTAAGCCTCCCTTCTTCATCCAAACGTTGAGCATGGAAAAAAATTTGGTTGCCGGATTGCATTTTTTCAAAGTACTCCATCATTGCCACCGAGTCCCCTCCAACCATCTTCAACCGCCTAGCCTTGTACACCTCATGTTGTAAATATTTTACTGTGAGAGCCATGTTACCGTTTCGTTCGGTCGCCATGCAACCGTGTATTTGAGAAATTGGTACACCTACCTCATAGAAATCAAACAACCTCTTCTTCACTGCGGGGGTCATTTGCTTCATGCGGTACTCCTTCACAAGCTTAGAATTTGTCGGATCAATCTCGTGATTATGCTCTAATTACACGCTCTTCAACTCCCACAAGCCATTTTCGTTAACTTTAGCATAAACACGGGCCTCACATTCGCACTTTTTCAAAGTCCTCTTCATACCACTTAATTCATCCTCACATACCACCCTATCAACTAAGCCACCTAAACCTCCAAGACCCATTGCCTTTGCCCTCTTCTTCGCTTCCCTCCTAACCCTCATGTCGGGTTTTCCCCAACACTCACACTTCCACGTCACTTTGATTTTTTTTTTTGTCCCCCATCTTAGAATTTACACCTTGAGCCCTTGACACTCCAAACCCCATCTGCTCAGCATAGTCCTTATAGTAGGCTTCAACCTCTTGCCAAGACTGGAAAACCATCCCTTCCTTAGGCTCCTCAACAACTACAGCTATTTCGTTGCTACCAACCACAGTGTGAGTCGTATGAATTGTTTTCACGGGGGATAAATACCTAAAATTCATGTCATCTGCACAACTACCCGAAACAACTATGTCTTCTATACCCTCCTCCATATGGACGTCACCCCGAGACTTAACTCTACTGCCACAATCACCAATACCAACCTCATTGCCCCTTATAACGCTTTCTGTTTCCATTTCCATAATATCAATCTTCTCCATCAAAAATAATTCACCCTTTAAATACAGAACACCAACATAATTACGATACAAATTATGCAGAACACCAACATAATTATAATACGAAATTCAACACAAATCAACCAACACGTTTTCACAGCACAAATTCAACCCAACATAGAAATACAACCAACCAACACAAATCAACCAACCAATTGAACAACCAACGCAACTAATTTTCAAATAACCTCACAAATCAACAAAGGGATTTTTTTCAAAGCATACAAAGACAACACGTTGTTTTCAAAAAGTAGAAATTGCATTTTTAACAAAATCCTCAGGCCATTTCCGGCAGCCTCAAACCCATTTTAACAGATGCAAAAATCCTCATTATCCCATTACTTTCAAAATTATTCCGATTTCGGTCGCAAATATGAATTCAATTTCATGAATTGTTGGCGCATCAAGACAACAACAGAACAAAACTCACAACTAGAAGAACAGAAAAGTACCTCGTAATTCGAAGATGTGCATTTTTTCCACGTGGGTCTTTTTACTGGGTCTGGAAACCTGTATAAGTCGACGATGTGTGAAGAACTAAAAACTACCTGCTAATTGATGTCGGCTTGTTTATCAACTGGAACCTAGGTATGGAAGCTGTGAATACTTTCCCTGCCAAAACGTCAAGAAGGTAACGCTATCTCTATTACGGATTGACAGAAGGATGTCCCCACTCAGCATTGCTCTAAGATACACTCAGCAACTTGACACATAGGCAAATCCGAGTCAGCAAGTCAGGAAGTGAAAACTTCGACTTTATTTCCGAAATTCCACTGTGAGAAACGCTTCTGTTTCTCACAGTGAGTAACAGAGATTTAGCGAGAGTTTATTTTGCAAGGAATATCAATATATCTGACCAAGAGAACATAAGTTCAGCATTGCAGGTGGAAAGAACGGAAGATTTGGGTATGTACTTAGGTGTGCCGACCTTGACAAGTCGCGTAACCAAAGACACGTACAGCCATCTATGTGAAAAAATAGATCGATGCCTAGCAGAATGGAAGTCGAAATATTTATCGCTTGTGGGTAGAGTTACTCTACCTAAGTCCACGCTCTCCACCATGGCCCTCTATTTTATGCAAACTGCAAAGATTCCCAAGGGTACTTGTGAGGAAATTGATAAGAAAACAAGAAGCTTCATATGGGGAGGCTACGATGAACACAAAAGGGTACACTTACTTTCCTGAGAGATGCTGCAAAAGCCAGTTGCTAAGGGTGGCATCGGTATCATGTCTGATAAGCAAGCCAACTTCGCCTTCTTTAGGCTAATCCTAATGCACTTTAGGCTAGAGTTTTGAGGGCTAAATATTGCAAAGGGCGGTGCGATGTTGATATGTTTGAACCGAAAGCGGGAATGTCAAATGTATGGAGTGGAATGGGTAATTCTCCTAGATTGTAGCCTAGAGAAATGCTTGTATTATGTATATATTGATACGTGATTTAATGAGGAAGTGAAGGAAAATATTCCCCATATTCTTTCATGGTATCATGAGACTAGGGTTTTCTCGATCTCTTTTCCGCTGCGCCCTAGCTCTGTATTCTGCCCATCCTCTTCTCTGTTCTTTCTTCGGCAGCCTCAATGTTGCCTTCTAAACACTCTTTTCATCCTGCTCTTAGGGATGTCAGTGGGGCTGGTCAAATAGGAGACTCGCCCCATCCCCGCCCCAACGGAGCGGGGATGGGTCTTGGTTTGGCGGGTGATAGGGCAGGGATGGGGATAAAAACCATACCCGCCATGGGTGAAGGGGCGGGGGTGGATTTTAGGTTGTACCCGCCCCATCCCCGCCCCGCCCCACTTCGTACCCGCCCCATCCCCACCTACCCCACTTCGTACCCGCCCCATCCCCACATCCATATATTTTTAAAAACAAAATTATATACTTTTATACTATTTTATAAAAAAAAATTATGTAAAATAAAATAGTAAATATAATACTTTGTAATACACTTATATGATAAAAAAAATGTGTAATATTAACAATAATTTTATTTTTTTTTTTGCAATCTTTATTAATTATGAAGGATTATGTATTTGAGAGGCGGGGATTAGGCGGGTCTTAGGTGGGGATTATGTGGGGGTGGATATCCAAGTGGGGGTTGGGGCGGGGATGGTTTTGGAATTGTACCTGTTGGGGCGGGGATGGGGATGAATTTTAGACCCGCCGCGGGGATGGGGATATGGATGAAAATTTTAGATGGGGATGGGGATGGGAAGGCCAACATCCGCCTCGCCCCGCCCCATTGACATCCCTACCCGCTCTCACAGTATTTAATATCAAGAACCACGTTTCCATCACTATTGACATGGACACGAAACATTATTCCTCCTGCCAAAGGCAAGGAAAAAGAAAAAGAAAAGGCTTCTTCGTCTGCCGATGATGATGAAGAAATGTGGTCAACTCAATCAGGCCGTGGTGGTTCCGATGGTAAATCTAGTCGGGGCAATGGTGGTTAGGGTTTCGGTCAGCAGCAACAATGGTATCCTGGTTGGCCTCACTACCCTCAATGGGGTTGGCCACAATGGACTGCTCCTCCCTGCCCATTTCCCTCGCAGGGTTGGGCCCGTCCACCAGCACACCGTGGGCCTGGTGTATTGGGTCCGAGACCTCAGCAAGCTTATATGGCCTCTTCTCCAACTGGTCAGTCCACTTATGCTCCCATGGACATTGCTTCAGCAATGCACACCATGACCCTTAATCCGCCTGATCCGTCTTGGTATATGGACACTGGTGCAACGTCTCATATGACATCCTCGAACAGTAATTTTTCGTCTTATTTTAATTTGAGCAATAATTCTAGTGGTACTATTGTCGGAAATGGTCATTCAATTCCAGTTCATGGTTATGGTCATACTTGTTTACCCTCTTCTAATCTTCCATTATCGTTAAATAATGTCCTTCATGCTCCCAAAATCATCAAAAATGTAATTTCTGTTCGAAAATTTACAACTGAAAACTCTGTTTCGGTTGAATTTGATCCTTTTGGGTTTTTTGAGAAGGATTTTCAGATGGGGATGCCTATCATGAGATGTAATAGTCGGGGTGATCTTTATCCACTCACTTCTTCCATCAACACTCAAGCTTGTTCTTCTGCTTTAGCCGCCATCTATCCCTCTCTATGGCATGATCTAGTGTGTAGATTCTTTGCTAGGGATTAGGGTGAAACATGTTGGATTGATCAATTTGAGCTTAATTTGGAAGTTTTAGTGATTCTTGTATGGTAATTAAATTGATTAGGTGAGGTTTGCTTGATGCTTATATTAATTGGATTGGCCCCCTTGATTGCATGATTGAATTTGATTGACATGGAAATTGATATTCAGTTCATCATTACTGATTGAGAATTTGGTTATGTTTTCCTCTTACTTGTCTTACCATAAAGGGATTTAGGTTAGATAGTTTGAGGACGTTAATTAGATATGCTCCCAATTGCTCCTACTACTAGTCGTTACTATACATTATATTAGATGCTTGATTTCCATTTTTTGCTTGTTGATCAAGAATACATGTGGATCCTGATTCCCTGGTGCTTTATATTGATTGTAATTTGTTATTCCCTTACTTGATCATTACTTGATTAGTTTTAGTTCAATTCTCTAAACCTTGATTCCGGATTAGCTTAATTGTAGATTATTTGCAACTTGCTTCCCTCTCCTCGTGGTTCGACCTCGTGTTTGCCACTTTTAGTATTTTGCTTGAGTTTAATAAAACCTGTTTGATATGATTTAGAAAACAACCTATTTCTTAGCATGTCAGCTCATCGTGTACATTGGATTTTTTTGGTAAAGGTTAATTAAATCCACGTTATTTCTAGCTTGTTGTGCTGGATCAAACCATGGTATGCTATGCTGGAACCTAGGTATTGGTGTGTGCACCAACTTGACTAGGGATAAGTTAATCTTGGTTTTAGGACTTTTACTAGGCGTTTTAAGTATCTGATTGGGCCAATTAGGCCTTTTAATTTTGGGCTAAGTTAAGATAAACTTAATGGGTCTAAATTGAAATTAACTAAAATAACTTGTATTAAGGTTTTGAGTGAGGATTGTAAAGATTACCCTAACGGCAGCTAACGTTTGGAAAAGCTAGAATCCCATGATGTGGAAAATTCATAAAAACATGCAAACTAGTGATGCAAATTCGTGAATCATAAACACATTAACATGTTTAAGAGGGTGATCCGTGATGGAAAAACCTTCATTTTAAGAAAACTCCTATTGACGAACACTCTAGACGTAAAAAAACTAATGTACAAGCAATGAATGCCACGTTTTGGTGAGTTCTCATCTTGAGGATGAGCGGCATTGTGTGTCAAGGTTTTGTGCCTAGTGCACGACTTAGACGCTTTTTATTTTTTTATTTTTTTATTTTTTTTTTACATAGCACGGCTTTAACACTTTGCACCATATTATAACCTTATATTTTATACACTTCCTTTACTTTATATTACTTGTAAGTTATAACAGACTCTCTTGGCATCCATTTGGAGGAAGAGATTTAAAAGTGCAATTGATCAAATTATAATTTTAACATCATTAACATATAATTTCCCTTTTAACACCCTCATAAAGAGCTTGTGTTTCAATTTTGATTAATTTGCTCGTTTACTACCTCAAATCTCTTCCTTAAAATGTTTACAAAATTACTAATACATTGTATGCTGCAAAAAATATGAAACGGAAAATATATAAATTTCAAAAAACCAGTGCAACTTTTTTTTTTCATATATAGTAATACCAAAAATCTACTTTTCACAACAAAACATGAAAATGAAGAGTACTAGTTGAGAATCATTTTATACAAAAATTCTAGATATTTTTATTTTTTTTTCTGAAAGCAAGAAATTTATTAATTTATTTCGTCGTTAAATTTGGGTAGCCTAATTGATTGTATACGGAGTATTTCATGCTTTCGTAATCAATCAAATCCATCTATGTTAAATGATTGGCACACTTTGCAAAAATGCCACGATTGCCACCAGTTAACAGATAAGTTCTTTCTGAGGTTCTGACCGAATAAATTAAGCATGCACACAATTCTTTATTGATTAAATACATGTTCCTAGATTTCCCAACATATTATTATCACTCCATAATACTAACCATACAATTATTACAAGGGACATCTGATGAAATTACATTTAATACTTGTTTTTTAGAGGTTTAAACAATGTGAATTATTTCCAAATCATGGAAATATAAAGCCATTGTTCTGAAATAAAACTTGTAACATCAAACAAGTTAGATATATTTTTGGATCATTTAGCCTAAGATCACAATAACCATTTTTTTGTACAAATATATACAGCAAGACAAAGGAATGTCTAAAATCTAGAAGGATTATATTTTTTTTTTAAACAAAGTACTACATGACATCCTCCCGGAGTTCCGGGAATTACAAGGACCTGCGCGCCTACACATCTGATGACAGACAAAATGGAGCACCCCTTAAGCAGAGGGATTAGTCGAACCACCTACCCCAAGCATAAACACAATCACTAACTGTACACACACTTGTGCAATCTTAACATCATATATACAGTCGACATACTGAATTACAATCCTGCTTATCAGCCTACAAACATTTCTGCTTAGGTTGAAACAAGCTGTTGAAAGGGGTAAGTATGACTACCTCGAGAAGTGTAGTGCAGCAAAGGCAACAATCTCCATCGAGAAACTAAGCTGCACTGCAATTCTATTTGCTGAAGCTCCATTTCTGTCAACTCTTCGAAATTCCATCACTGGTTTTAGCATCTCCACAACATCCAAGTCAATAAAAATTGGTAGGTATACCTATTGTGGCAGAACCAAATTCCAACATAACAACTATCATCTTGGTGAACCAATGGCATGTCAAGTCTTCCATCTTACATTGCAAAAGACGACTGCCGGAAATTTGAACAAAATTGTGTGATGTGAAAGCCCAAAAAACCCACGTAGATCTGCATATAAAGGACTCAGATATTAGCTATCATTTGTTATGACAACATACTATAGATAAACAATCCAACATGCCCGTTCAGTACAAACTATGATGACATGCATGGATACACAACTGTCCAAAAGCTGTTGCTTATCATGAACACAAATCATGTCATAGAACTAACAAACTTCATTCAAAGTCTACTAATACAAGCACCTGGCCAAAAATTTAATCCCAATATAGCCCATTCACTAAAGTAATACCACAACAATAATAAATGCTAATAGTCACTTATTATGTGATTCTATCACTTAAGAGCGCCCTAGGATGACTTGACAACAGAAGACACCCAACCACCTCCAACAATGAAACATACATATATTTTGCATGATATCAAATTCAGTCATTAGATTCATGCAATCGCAAGCAATAACACTATCCTTTGTATAGTGTTATTCACACACCGGTAACAATGCTCAACAAAATAAGAAAAGAAAATATTGCAGTCGAACACTATCCTTTGTATAGCAAAGAAAGAAAAGCCAAGAACCCTCAAGCTACAAATAAGAAGCTTTTCTTAGCACATCATTGACCTCAAGCCACCAATAAGAAGCTATTCTAGCGCGCGCACACACACACGTATCTAGAATTGACAATGTATTATATAAGTTACGATACTTCTCAGGTTAGGTCAGCGTCCTAGTTCGAAAAGAATTGCTAAATCAATCTCACTAGATCATTGGATGCATGTACATCTTTGTGGATCGAAATAAAGCAATAACCAAATACATTCTTGTTGAATATCTATGCTCTATAAGTCACTAAATTCTTTCAAGATAAACCTTTGTCTAGATATAGACTCCAAGTACAAATAAGAAATAACGAGCTTCTGCTCCATAAGTAGAAGAAGCTGAAACAGTATCTCTGCATAAATAGGAGACTTAAAGAAGAAACGAAAGGTTTCAGTTGCAAATATCACAGATGTACACAGCAGAGTCATCGATAGGTTCCGATAATAGCTTAATCAATTCTCAAAGATTCCAAACTTCCAAAATATAGCTGCATAAATGCAACAGCTGATAATGTATGAGCTTTCACTTTAACACCACCCTAGGACAACACCTAGTCGTCTACTTCATGTAGACTAAGCATGCACGTGAGAAAGATAATTGAGAAACACCGAAGTCTTACCAGAATAACATATGATCAGAAACAAAAATTCAATGTGCATTCATATGTGAAACAACTTAAGAACACTACAATCGCTAACCAAGAATAAATAAGTTAAGCTATGTTACTCCGAAACCCTGCAGTACGTCAGGTGTCGAGTGTTGGATCCTCAGACACTTTGACACAACGTGATACCCAAATATATAGTTGCCTTATATGAAATTTATACAATCTTGAGTATCGGACACAACACCCAAATCCGAGTCTAGGCAACATAGAAGATAAGCCTACATATTGATAAAGGATTCACAAAAAAATTCCACACAAAGCATTAAACACATAGAATGCATAGTAAATTATAACATACTCCTATGACCATCAGTTTCACTGAAATTCAAGAATATTTCTCCAAAAAGAAAGAGCAAATTTAAACTTATCACTTGAGCACCATGGGAATCTAAAAAATTTAGACAAGAACTCCACGCGATTGTAGATTGTTTCAGGGTAGAAAAAAAAAATTAAAAAAAATAAATAAAATAAATAAAAAAAAAAACACAAAAAACAAAAAACAAAAAACAAAAACAAAGAGTAAATTGCTAATGTGGTAAAGACGGAAGCACAATAATGCAGCTCCGAGTCAACAAAAGATTACAACCTACAGTAACCTTTACAAGTTGTATCAAGAGGTCCTTAAAGATCACTCACCGTAGAATACCACTCAACAGCTCTGATCCTTACACCCCTTAAATCTTCCTACAATATATCCTCTTATGTGGCAGACTGCACATATGAGCTTGTTTCCTTTAGGTGTTACTTTGGTGACAGCAAGGGCAACTAATAAAAAAAATTTACAACCATCAAATTTGCATGATCACTGATGGTAAGCCATCAGCATGAGAACTTGGCAACAATGTTATGCTAAAACCTTTGTTTACTGTGAGAACACAATTGACTGAGTATACAATTAAACAAACTTACACATTCTTCACCACTTCCTTTTTGTTGTGAAGTAGCAGGAGATTTGATACTTTCGCCATTCTAGGATTTAGCTTGGTTGTTTTAAAGGTGCACAAAAATGATTTTTCTGTATTATCTTTACAGGTGGAACACTGAGGCTAATAATAAACAGCAATGGAATATAATCACTATATAATATAATAAGCTCCAAGTATGATTATCCTTGTGCAAATCAATCACATTTATAATGAAGAAGTTTTTAACATGACATCTTATTCAATGCTTTCTAGGACATTTCAAGGCTCTAGGTAGAATTATTATGTGTAATTCAATCCAGCATTCATTAGGAAAACATTGTAATTCCAAAATAAAGCTCTTTAGGGAGCAAGAGATTAACGAAATCTAAACTTCCTACTCATTGTTGCTTATTAATTTAAAACTTTTGTGATGTTGTAGGCCTTTATAGACATTATTCTGTCACATGTATAAAGCACCAAAACGGATAGTCACAAGAGACCCTTAAAACAGATAAATTCGTTGACTGTTCCGCTTGTGCCCACCTCGACTTGCTCAGCCGTCACAAGCCCCAATCTACCCTTGACTTGCTCAACCATCACAAGCCCTGATCAGCCCTTGACCCCAGTATTGTCGCTGTGACCAAGAGTATCCATCATCCTTATTTTCCCTACGCTATGTGCTCACAAGCTTTGTCTGCACAAGACCAGTGCCCTTGCCCCACTAGACGAGAGCCCACCACATGGATCTGGTGTCAAAACACTCGAAAACATGATAGTTGCTATATAGAGGTTTTTCAGCTTCTAAAATGACCAACAAGGCCGGCATCAGAGTCCTACATAATCAAAACAGACTAAAAACATCCTAGCATGTGCCCACATTATTATTTCCGATATTTCATCTCAAACTCCTATTCTTGAAACAAAAATCTAAGATATTTTCAAAGGTGCTTTCAATCCAAATTCTTTTCTTTCTTTATTAAAGAAATCTCAAATGTTTTCATGCCCACTTCATATGTGCCCAAAACTGTGAAATCCTTTCCCAAAACGACAACAACTACCACTTCAAAAAGATACATAGAAAGGATCGTTCATTCCATAAAATTAAACCCCAACAGCATCACATCTCCACTTCCCAGGTTCTAAATCTGTGTTGTATTTTGTAAGGAGGTTGACCTTTCTTTACTCACTCAACAACAGTATTCCCAATAAAGGCACAGAATTACCATGTCCAAGTTTGAGTTTCTGCCTTGTGCATATACTTGTTTCACAGCCAGTTGACAGCAGAATTTCCGGTGTTTGTGCCATTGTTTTGTAATAAAAGTTCAAAAGTATACTTCCTCCGTTTCTTTATAGTTACAACACACACTTTATCACGGTATTTAGGAAAAGTGGACGTCACATGATATAATACACTTAAAATGGGGTTAAGCGGTTGTTAGGAATATAATGCTAGGAATGGGTCGAGGCCTCCAATCATTGCCACATATTTTAGACGCAAGAAGAAGCAAGGAGGTTAACAGAAAATTCAGGGAGTTGTGCTGAGCTGTCACTTTTCTGTTATGCTTATTAAATAAAGATTGTGTTCTGTTATTATCCTAGAGGGGTTTATTAGTCCTTTTGGTTTAGGGAATATTTTCTGTTATGATTAGGGGGAATGAATGTAAGGAGTTGGTAATTAGTATAAATAATCCAGCCAGGGGAGTAGTGAAGACATCCAAAAAATTGAGAAGTAATTGGGAGAGTGCCTTCCTCTCAAAAGAAGGTCTGCTTGTATTGATTGGTTACTCTGGCTAATTAATACAGCCCCTATTACTGCTCTACATTGCTCTCAAATCCTCTATTACTGTTTTTCCTGTTTTGTCTTTCTTTCCCTTTCTTGTAATTTCATTTCGGCACCGCAAGTACAGCCAGTAACTTGCATATAATTAAGTAGGCCATGTGCTTTAAATAAAGGTAATAGTACAATTTTTACCATAAAAACCTTCCTTTTATAGTGTGTTGCAACTTTTGTGACATTTTTATTTTAGGGAAGAATTGCAACTATAAAGAAATAGAGGGAAGTATTACTTAATTATATATATCTTATGCCAGAATCGATTACTGATTATTTAGAGTGTTTTTGTTTCAGATTTGTCCAGGTGTGGCTGTGTTGCATTACAAATACTTTTTTCCCATTCAAGAGTTACTAGTAAGAAGAGCAGCTCAGTCAAGAACAAATCTAGAGAGCTTTCTAATACTAAACTTATGGCTGCAAGCTTTTATTTATACATTTTTAAGGGAATGTTTGTCATGATGCATCTTGTAAAGTCTGCATATTTACATAGAGAGCAATGCAACAAACCAACTACAATCCCCCAAATAAATCCTGTTTCTCCCTTTAAATTTATCCCAAATAAACATCTCATACAAATTATGTTGGGTACAGTGGTTCACCAAATAATATACTCTGTAATGCTTTAATCTATCGTCAACTTCTTCATTATTTATTCATCTTTACTCAAAAGCCCAACACTTTCTCTCATATCAATAAAAATATAACAAACACTACACTCCAATTTTTTTTATCCACCATTACTCAAAAAGGCCACCAACAATTCTCTCCTAAATCTATGTGCCCACCGCCCAATAAAGATGGGAACGAGGGAGTAAATCGGAATATGAGCTCAGAACCTACATTTCCTCAAGCAAAGGGATCAACTAAACCAGATAGCCATCTTGAGACCAAATTCACATCAAAAACAAATTGGAAGACAATTTCTCCAAAATCATTTTCTTCAAAAAGATTATTCAGCGTATTTCAATCTGAAAGCTCATAAGCTTAGCAACTAAACCCAAGGGCTTGAACTTCAAATTTGGCCAGTGGGAAAGGAGTGTAACAGGAGAGAGTGAATAAAAAAAGGCAGTTTCCAATCTAACAGCCACGTAAAGCAATCTTAGACATGTGGATGAAAAGTGAATTTGACATTGATTTTGATATGCCCTATTGGACTTTAAAGTTCAAAAAACTACTTTGAATGTTTGCACACTGCTAAAATTTTGATAATTGAGGCCTACCAATCATATTATTCATACTTTGTAATATGGCGGAATGACAGCACAAAAAGGTGGAGGAAGTAAACTTACTGGATATGACAACATTTACATGCCATTTCCTCACACAACTCTCTTTACATCGCAGAAAAAAATAAATAAATTGATTTATGATGGTCATCCTCCGAGATACATTATAAATTATGACCATAGCATATATAGGAGACTTAAACATACAAAGGTCTTAAAAAAATTATTTGAGTAGGATCTGAAGATCTTATAACATTTCAATTCTGACAGGACGCTTGCATTATTTGGATTTAGAGTCAGGTGATTCTAAAGTTCACACAGAAATTTTAACAGCACAGGGGGCAAATTGATAAGTGTAGCTCATCATCCGTCATAACTCATAAGCTTCTAAATGTGGTTCTTGCACAATGGAATTACTGCTAGTCATGAGTTAGTCAGAAGTAAGATAATAATAACATTCCCCACTTATTCAATGTGGTATCAATGTTCATGTTAAGCAGCACCAAAAAGGAACGAACGAGAAAAAAATTTTAAAAATGCAAGAAAAGATAAAATTATAAAAAATTGGCCTTTAAATATACACAAATGTAATATCAATTAGCCATATGGCCTTTCTCCTTTTTTGAACACGGCAGGAGATAGAAAAGTAAAGCATAAAAATAAGAAGATTAAATAATGGCTATAATCATTAGCAAGCTTGTGACTGCTTAAGCAAATATACAGCAATCAACCAGCATGTTGGGCATTCCACGAAGTCCAAATCAAGATGAAATTCATAACATAAACAGACCTGAAATTTATTTGTGCAATTAATTTTAGATATTGTATAATTCCAGATAAAGTTCCATCAGATATGAGAAAATGCTTGAACACAACACGACAGAATACACATCCCAAAACTACAGGAATTAAAACTGTAAAAGAATGAAAAAGGATTGATAGTACAACGCATGTGAACTATAACTATTGCCAATTAGAGACAGGAAAAGAAAATAGAAGACAGAAAAATTACCTTACTGCATCATATTCTCAACGCACTTCACTGCACCACATCCAAAGATGGGACAGCTGAGAAAAAAACAAATCTAGTTGCAGATTGAGAGCTTTCCAGTGTATTCATCAGCGACACCATAATCAAGGCTAAGTTCCCGCATCGGGGGGATGTTCTCCATTGCAAATAGCATAAGATGAGGAAACAAAATGTTGTTATGATCATAAAGCACCAACTGCACCATCACATTGGGACAAGTGCTATGGCTTATGTAGCAAGCAACATTTCGCATTTTGGAAACATCCATGGCAATATCCAATGGAGGAATAGACGGATATGTTGGCGTCACATAACCAGGATATATTTGGGTTAGATCCCCCCATTCAGCCCACTTTTCTGTAAACCGGCCAGGATATATAAGTGTGTCTCCATTCATGGAGAAAACTTGAGCCTGCTCCCTTGTAAGAATAAGCCCGGCATATTCACAGATAAATGCACCAGCATGTATCAAGTCTAAAGTCCGAACTCCCCAACCTGTTTCCCTGGACCTAAACACTTCCAATCTATGCTTCAGCCCCTTCTGGCTCACACGATTTCTGCAACTAGGAGGACAACCACAATTGTTGTTACATTCAAATACTAAAGGTTTCCCTCTAAGCAAAAAACCATTATTATCATAAGCAATCTCCCCTCCATTCTTCATTGCACACAAACACCCATCATGACAACTAGTAATACAACTGCACCCCATAGTTCCCCCTGAATACACAAAAGCAGGGAAAATTGCCGTGGGGCAATAATCATAGTACAACGGGTCATTGTCGGCATCAATATCATTAAAAACAAAGATGGGCACATTCTCCTTCTTCATCGAAAGGTCAAGACTAAGATACCCCACAGGCCTAACCTGCAGTGCCCTAGTCCTCAAGCTTTGAGCCAATTTCAATAGGGTACTACCCATTTCAGGTTGACCCTCAATTCTTAAAAGCTTGAACTTATACACACCATAACCAGATCTACCAACATCAAACCAAGACTCAACAACTTTATATAAACCATCATAAACATAAATTTTAGTAGTAAGACTACCCTCATATTTAAGACCCCTAATCACTCTAATTTCAATACCATAATGCATACTTCTTTCTAAAGCCAAATTACCTCCTTCAAGCTTCTGGTGATTGACCATCCTGTGAAGCTTATCGAGCCCGCCATGCCCTGTATAAATCAACACATCCCCAGCATCTTCATCATCTTCATACCCACCAGATACAATGATACTCGTTGCAATCGGTTCGCCATTCGAACTCTGGCTCGAAGGCAAGTAATCAATTCCAGCTTGTGACTGCCCATGTAACCCAACCACACAAAGCTCCATTCTAAAATAGAACAAGTCTCCAATGAACACTCCAGGAATCGACCCAACAATCCTCTTATCCCTATTAAGCCATAGCCCACGATCCCTCATCAATGTAGCTGCCCGTAAATCGCCACGAGCTCTTCTCCCGGCCCCTGGACCGCTCCTCCTCTCTTCCTCCGTCATTGTATAGATCCTCAACGCGTCGTAAAGCATTCGAGTTCGCCTCACTATATCCCTGAAGTACCTCTGATCCTCCACACTCAGGTTAGTAACTCTAACAAGCTCATTAGACCGCTTCTGCTGACGCCTGAGCTGATTCGGGGCAGCAACAGCCAATGCCGAAAACTGATTCTCCTCACTTGGGACAGCAACAATTGCCCCCGAATTAGAGTCCAACGGCTGCTGCTGCTGCGCCTGCTGCAGCTCCCCTTGCCCTGGCATTCGATGCCCAAAAGCCGAATGAAACATCTCCGAAATGCGGTAGAATTCCGAGTACACATTCGATTCCTCGTTGGTCGAAGACGGAGACGGCTCCAGAGCAAAGTCATTTGACGGAGGCGAGCTGGGGATTAAATCCGGCGTTTCAATCTCCGAAATGGGGTCATCGATAGGTTCAGATTTGACCCGGATTTCCAACTTCGGACGACGGAACGTTGTCGCTGGCGCAGGTGGCGCGATAACAGCGGCTGAAGTTGAAGGGAGAGCGGAGGAAGCGACACGTGGGTCAGGTACGAGATTAAGGTCTGGAAATGGGGCAACAGATCCCATTTCAGGAAGCATGGAAGTTTTGGAGGAGAGAGAAAAAATGGAAGGTCTGGTTATGGCGGCGAAGTCAGAACATTTTTGGCGGTGGTCAGAGGAGTGAAAGAAGGTGGTTGTTGTGGTGGTTAGGGTTTAGGTTAAGGTGGCAGAATGAGGAGAGATTTTAGGTGGCAGTTGATTTGACGACAATGGTGCCAGTACTTTTTGAACCCAACTTCATTCAAATAGATGATGCAAAGAAATGAAATAACTAAAAGAAAAAAAATCAAAAAAAAAAAAGGGAAAAGTATAGTACTCTTTTTTATGAGATGAGGAGAATAATTCTTTTGTTGAGCATGAATGAAAGAACAACTTGAAACTAAGAGAGACAATATTGATGATGAAACAAAAAGAAATGTAATGAAGAATTGAGGATAAACTACTACTATTAAGAGGAAGAGGAGTTACCACCGCCATTTATATTAATTATGCGATTGAAAGAAAAACTCATGAGAATTATTTTTAAGCAGCGTTATCTTGATTGGTTTGATTGACTAGGGTTGCAGTATTGTGATTTTATTTCTGAAAATCTTTCTTTTATCGAAACAAATTATATCGGATAAAATAGTTCATTCTCCTAAAAGATTCGCACCAGCTGTATTCATATAATCATATTGAATATATATCAAATCATTTTTATTTCATATGAATTATGATTTATTTCCATTACTATCTCCAATTATGTAATGTGTCACCTATATTATTGTCATCCAATTATTTTTAAAATTTGATTTTATTAAAACAAATCATATCTGTTAAAAATAATTTATTCACCCAAATGAATTGAACCAGCCATATTCATGTAATCATATTGAATATTAACCTATCATTTTATTTCACATAAATTATGATTTATTTCATTTGATATCTCTAATTATGTGATGTGTCACCAATTGTAAAATTATTGTTTTCTAACATTTTATATTATTGAAACAAATCCTATCTGATAAAAAATCACCATAAAAGAATCACATTGAGTCACAGTAGCCATACACATATTGAGTCAAAGTAAATCATTTATCATATCATTTCATATCATATGATATCATATCACGCAATATAATATCATATATCACTAATAAATAAAGCTGAATCACACAACCAAGCCACAAAACAGCGACACTTGGTGCTCTAGTCTATACCAAGTGTCGCATCATATAGGCAAAACTATGCATAAACATGTCAAGTTAGATGTCTTGTACATAAGCGATATAGGATAAATAATTAGAATAAAAAAGTTATTTTCAATAGAATTTAATTTTAAATCTTTCACATACATAAAAATAATTTATAATTTTCACCACATTTCTTATGAAATTGTAATTTTTGCTTTATAAATTAATTTTAAAAAATGTTTTAAAACAAGATCCATTTATAATAAATTTTAACCAATTATGAATAATTTATTTCAGTTTAACATAAATATATATATATATATATATATATATATGTTTTAAAACAAGATCCATTTATAATAAATTTTAACCAATTATGAATAATTTATTTCAGTTTAACATATATATATATATATATATATATATATATATATATATAATAAAAAAATAATTAAAAAAAAAACTTTTAAGATAATATGTAATCTCTCCAGTTGAGGAAAGACAAAAATTGCTCGTTCAAGGCACCAAGTCACAAGGTCTCCTTTCACACTTATTAGTCTTGACATTCTCTTTTTACCATCTCTTTTGCCTTTAGTCCATGTCCAATGTTTGTTATGTAACCCTTTGAGTGTTGGCTCATCAACAACAAAAGTTATTATCCGTCCAACTATCAACTATTTTGCTAGTTCTAGCAACGACAATTCAAAAGTACGATCTAAGACATGTGGAGTTGGTTTCATTCAAGCAAGGGAGACCCTTCGAACAAGAAGTTTTCAATTTTATGTTTTTATTTTCGTTAGTTTGTAAGAGCTAGTTTAGCTTATTTAATTAATGTTCTGTTGAACTATTTCTAGTGTGTAATAGTTTGATAAAGCTTATATAAAAATAAAAAATAAAAATACTAGAACCATCACTATGAACACTAACATCATCACTACACACAGAAGTATAAGTTTCATATTCTGATTGATCTCTTGATTTAAAATTACTTTCACTTCCAAACATTGATTTATCAGTTTCATCCAAGTTTTTCTCAACCTGAGCTATTGATTTACCCTTAACCTTTTGCACCTCTTCCTCGCCCTTGCTTCTCACTCCTTCTCTCCCCTTACTTGCACCAGCAAATCACCAAACCTCCAAAGTCAGATAATAAAACATCACCACTTAACCATTTCACAAATGCCATTTACAGCAACAAGCCATAGGGGAAAAAATCCCCAAAAACCCTTTTTATAGCTTAGTTCAGATTCAAACACATTAAGTCTGTTTAACCACATTAACTTAGTTCAAATTGAAACACTTTAACTCAGCTAATGTGTTTATATAATTCAATCAACGACACTCAACTCAACTCAAATTCAACAACAATAATACATGCATGTAGATACATTCATACATAAAACATGAATTAAAATACATTACAATTTTAAATCAATCAAACAACATATCAAGTTAATAGATTCATCCCATTCAATTGCATTAGTTAATTCATTTCGTAATTCCATTCTCAATTCATCCATTTCAACTACATGCATTCAAACATCTTTGGTTATTATATTCATGGGCAATTAAGAAAATGAATTCTTCGATTAGGTTGATAAAACAACAACGAATATTCTAAATACCCAACGTTGAAAGTAAAACATTTAAATTTACATCATATTTGTTTAGGGTAAAGATACCAAGGCCACGTGACCCAAGTGGCCTAGTTATATAGCAACACGTGTCAGCCAGCTAGGCCTTAAAAGCCAAATTGTGCCTGACATGAGGCAATAGAGGGTTCACCTAATGATGAAACCCATGAAAGCAGTAAATGCCCAAATCTCGAAAGAAACATCATAAAACAACACTGCCCATGACATTTAGTACACACATATTGTGCAACCAATCAAGATCCACATTTTTAGGGCACAAAACCTTAGTGCATGCAAATAAGGGACACTATCCTAAACCCTAATCATTAATTGATATGGCAAGTTTCAATATCATATTCCAGGCTATTGCCCAAAAAACACTCTAACATCTCTACTTTCGCTCTCTACCTTTTATGTTTCCGATCACTAATATAACTTGATCGTCGAAAGCCAACATTTTGGCAAACCGGATATTCGTGGTGCTCTTATCGAACGTTAGGTTTGCAGCATTCAAGTCTATCTCCCGAAGGACATCATCCAAAAATCTCCAAAATAATTTTCATTTTATCTACGTGCTGAACAAATTCCCTAATCTAAAATGAAAGCTACATAAAAGAAAAAAATAAAAAAAAAAAAAAAAATCCTGTTTTAAAAAGTAAAATACCAATCAAACAATAAGTTTTATTTTATTCACTACTCAATTCCCCTAAATAACGCATAAATCACATCAACCTAATTACCCCCAAATAGCACAAATAACCCTTATAATATATACAATTTTGCTTCAAATGAACTAGTAAAACACTTAACTCCATGCTTCATTGTAAGAGAAGAACCTTTAAATTGAAAACCAACAAGGAACATGTGGAGAGCAAAATCGGATGGCACTTTGTTATTGACAATGGATGGTAATGCTCCTAGTGAAGAGAAGAAAAGGAGAAGAGAGCGAGAAATAATAAACAATCAATACCATATACTATAGTAATCACCAACATTATCCCAAAAGTACAAGATTTTCTCGCCAAAATCTTTTTTTTTTCCTTAAAATTAATAAGATAATTGTTTATAAAAATAAAAAAATAATAAAAAAATGCAGCCTAAAAAATCGAACAATAACAACAACTTTAAATAAATAAAATATTTTTTAAATCGTTAATCTATAAAATGTATATTTCCTACAATCTTTATTCATTAATCTGTAAAATGTATTGTTTGTTTCCTACTAAAAAGGATTTTAAATTTATAATTTGTAAGCATACAAAATAGAGATACTCTACATTAACGTATCTCACCTATAATAATTTGATAACATAATTAGATATTAACATGTATACACAATCACAAACAAATACGATCTTATAGTGTAGGCGTCGTTCAAAGCGCGCCTAATCAAGCATGTGTAAATATGCTTGGCAATCATAGAAAGTGAGAATTGACATATACGATTAGGAACAAATAATGTAGGGAGCCGCCAATAAGTTTTTTAAGGAACTTGTAAACCGTTCAAGGATCTTTTAGGGCAACCACAAATAAGGGACAACGATAGGCAACAACGATTGACCCATGAAGATTACACCCCATTCATAATCCATGAGATTACTAACTCCATATGGTTCGAAACCACGAAAGGAGGATCGGGGATGATGTTACGAAGTGAGTCACAAAGTCACATTTGTCCATATTGGCCTCTACTCGATTCTTATAATGAAAAGTATTTCTTGCGATCTCAAAGGCATACAAACAAAGATTCAATTTACTCCAAACTAAATTAGGCTAAATTGGTTGAATATTAATGCAACACATAATTCTAAACATTAGTTATCAAACTTTAATTAATAACAAGATAAAAAATGATCCTAAATCGATCGTCCAAATTATCTTATTAGTCGTTATATTCAATTGCATATTCCCTGGCCTTTAAACCTGCAAAATGGTGATCAATAAATATATAAAATAAGCAATAACATTGGAAGCAATTTAACCATAATATCATTAGTCAAATGATCAAAAGTATAATAATAAACCTAAACATGATACCAGCAATAAAAATAATAATAAGAGTAATTAAGTAAATGAATTACTCACGTTCCGTGCTTCTTTAGATGGCTACATCTTGAATAAACTATTTGTAACTTCAAAGAATTATAAATCAATTTGATATTAAATTAAATTAAAGTAGAATTGATTTGGTCCAAACCCTCAATCAGTTCTACCTTTCACACGTTGGCTTAAGTATGGAATTTCGGGTATTATACGAACTTCTTAGAGTGCTTAGGAAGGAATGGTGTAATTAGGAGCATAGGTTTAAGGCTTAGAATGTGAGAGAGAGAAATGAGAATGTGTGTTGATGCCCCGTTACTCATAAGTGAGCCTCGTATTTATAGAGAAAAATGATGGAGTAAGCTACGGAACCCTAGAAATGAGGCGCTGTGAAAGAAAAAGGTACTGCGTCATGGCACTAGGTGTCGTGGCACGGTACAAATTTTATCATTTTAAAAAATGAGGGAGTGAGTGATGAAGGTGAGTTAAGCAATGCAGTGAGAAGGCTCTTTATTACAAAAAAAAAAAAAAAAAAAAAAAAAAAAAAAAAAAAAAAAAAAAAGCAAATTTG